AAGAGTGTATCACTGCTGCTTTTTAGGGCTGAGACTTGCTAAGTTGTAGTTGTCATACTGACTGTAATGCTATGCTGCTTCTAGAAAGATACGGCATAAAGCTGGCTATTTTTATTTCTTTTGCTAAAAGGCACTTGTCTTTTGTCATTCTGCCTGGCAGGTCTTACTTCAGGGCAGGGAGCTTTTTGCTTCCACAGACTTTCATAGTCTTATTACTTATTCTCTACCATGACAATTTAGTGCAATCTAATAGCAATGCTGAGAAGAGTGATCAGAATTGAGGCTGGTCTTCTAAGATATGCCACTGTTTTCTGTAATTTATATATTTTTCACTCGTGTAAGAGAAAGCTGTAACAGTGCAGATGGTGTCCGTGTTCAGACAAAGCTGAACGATGGACACTAGGACAGGTAGATGGAATGGCCATAGTAAGCCTGGAAGTCAAAATTGTTATCAGTTTCGTAGCAATTCAATTCAACTCCAGCCAGCTATTAACTGAAAACATACCAGACTTATTTGGAAAGTCTGAAAATAATTTGTTTGGCTAGAAAGAAAAGCAAACCATACTTACTGCTTGTGAAAAACACTGGAAACAAATTTCCGTGAACCAAAGCTGAGAACAAATAGGGATTTCCCCGCCCCGCACGGTCTCATTATGACAAACAGGATTTAAACCTTAAAGAACTTTGAACCTGCATGGAGGTCTGTGAATAGTACTGCAATCTCAGCAAGATTTTGGCATGTCATTTTAAGTCAGTCTGTGTAATGATGTTCTTTGTGATATGCATGCCCATTAGGAAGCATACTGAAATCTCATTTCATGCAGACCATTGAATGACAGGTCACTGTTGCCCAAATGGTCCACATCATCAATTGTGCAAATGAAAAGACAAGATTCTGTCCCTGGAAGTTCTGCAGGACAAGTTTAGGTGTAATAAGTAATGTATCTAATGAATGAGATTCAGGCTATTGTAATGAAATTGCTGCTCAGGATAGGTATATTAACATTCAGGCTTAGTGTTTCTATTTTTAAGCCAAATAAAAATTATTTTAAAAGAATTTTTCTAAAGTAGTTTTAACATTTTGGGTTTTACTGAAAGGGGCCTAAATAAAAAGCATCAAGATAACCAGTAAGTTGTGCCCACACGTACTATCCACTAGATGCCACTCTTCTCAAGCTACAGGCTAACAAAACAACAAAGTATTTTCTGTTATTAAAAAATAAAATCTTCATTGTGGAAAAAAAAAATTACACTGCTCAGATTGTAACTATGAGTTTCTAAGTTAAATTCTTGGATTGTTTATTTAAGGACCTAGATAAAATTGCCTTGTGTTCAGAGGGGTGGAACTTCTTTTGACTGACTTCGGAAGAGTTTGCAGGCAGTCAGCATTTCTAAAACGTGTACCACTTAGTGTCCTCAATGATTTTATATATAAAATCTTATTTAACTGCAAATGTTGGCCTCTCATCAGTAAATTGTTTAGTTTTACATCTGTGCAAGAGGTTTTTTCAAAGCATAGTTTCTGGATATAAAAGTATTTTGACAACAAATAATAAATATCCAGCTTCCTCTGACTTCTTTTGGTGTTATCACCAGTTATCTGATACGCTTCCTTAGTCTACTCTGATAACAAACAGTGGTATGCTTAACAATTGTAATTCAAGGTTTTGAAGGGTCATGAATTTGCTAATAAGGTAATGGAGAACATTTAATCATGGAATCCCACATTCAGTTCTGTCAGCGAAGCATCCACTTAAACTGTTTAGTCATTTCATTATATTAAATCATGCCAGTTGTACCTTTGCTATCTGTATGGATAGATGTTCTGTTGTAGCCGCCTGGCAGCTGGAGCCTCAGTCGCTTTGTGATACAATGCTGATTTTTTTTTTTCTATGTTCTAAAAAGTATATTTTCTTAAGATTTTGTACGCCCTTTTTACAAAGAGGTAACTGGCACAATGGAAATGGTTTCAGTGAAAAAGCCTTCTATCCAAATGACCTTGTTCTTGTTTTTAAGGAGAGGTTATCTGTGAAAAGATTTTCCTTTTGGCAAGCATACTTTCCATACATGTGCTGCTTGTATAATAAGTTCTTGCAGTTGAACTGGGCGCTGTTCATTGCAGTCCTACTTCCATGTTGGCTGGATCTTGCAATGGATCTTCTGTTTGTTATCAGCTTGTTAAATTTCTGTGGTGACACAAGGTCCACTTTATCATTTCACTGCAAGATAAAGCTGGAGTGGAAGATGGTTTGAGTTGGAGAGTACATTTGTTTAAATGAAAATAATATTTAGATCTAATAATTAAAATAGGAGAATGCTTGGCCATTGAATGGAACCTCTTGTACAAAACTTGGAAGAACTTTGCATTCAGTAACTATAAACTTTGCAGTTTCCTTCTGCAGGAGATATGCTGTTTCTTTGTGCACAGACAAGTTATGTCTTTACACTGGGAAGAGAACCTAACTGTTTTGTCTTCCAGTATTTCAGTCTGACTCCTCAAGTATGCTTCTCCTTTGAAAAAGATTTCCGGTATTACTTGGTATCCGCTTATCAGAGTTTTGCTTTGTTTGCTTTGTGAATACTTGATGCCTTATTACCCCACATTATTCCTTTTTCAGTGTTATGCCTTCTGGTTTTTTTGATAGGTTGATTGAGATAGCAGGAAACAGATTCCCTACTTACTTTGACTCAGAGGAAAAGCTGTTCTGCATGACCCGTAGCATTCACCTGTATCGAGAGCTGACCTGTGGCAGTGTACTGAAGAGGTATTCTTTTCCAGAGTTTAAAAAAAAAAAAAGACCATTTTGACTGGATTGTCTATAACAATATTTGTTTATATAAAAGCTTTATAAAGAGTAATTAATTTATTTGAGGCCTTTTCATGTTGATAACAGAATGGTCTCCAACGAAGTAAAATTGCTACAGAAAGACTGACATGGATCTTCTCATTCCATAGTGTGTGACTAATCCACTTGATGTTTTCTAATTTCTGATAGACAATTTCTATATGATCTGATCCCTGTAAGCCTCCAAAGGGGAGTGTTCATGTGACAAATCTGATCTTGTCTTGGATTGTGGAGAGACCATAGTATAAGAGTTACATTTTCCATGAAATAGGAGTTTGCTCCTGCAAAGCAGAGTTTACTTCCAGGAAGACTGGGACCCCTCCAGCAGTGGGAAGGAGGAATCGTTTCACAGTCGTCAGCCTGAATGCTGCTGCTGTTGGCAGTGTTGTATTGTCATGTTGTTACCTTATGTTAATTTGTGAACACATTTTGCAATGAAAATGAATTGAGTTATATTTTAGCATCATCTTGTGTATTTTATGTTAGTGGGAGAATTATTCTAAGAATAGTTTCTTCTCCTAGTGTAGCTTTATCAGAGAACAGCTAGTAGCATATTACCAATGGATTAGTTTGGCATACTGTCTTTGGAGGTATTCAGAAACAGATTTGACCTTCTGTATATATAGACCCCAAGGATTTTGGTGTTGGCAATGGGATGCTGGTACTGTGAGCAAAAAGGCACAGTTTCAATGTCCACTTAACTTGCTGTCTGCCATTCAGGGTTTGTACAGCATGGTGTTGCTAACTAGAGGTTCTTCCAAACCTCTCCCTTTTGGAGGGGTCCTGCCTTGGGTTATGTGGCCTGCTGGAGCCTCGGATTCCTTTCCAAATCTCTTCAGTACAGGCTGATGTTAGTGGAGGTGGTGTGTGAGGGGGGGGAAAAGCGAGGTTGACTACTGTGTAAATAATACTATCAATGACTGGGGTTTTTTTGTTGCTGTTTTTTCTTTTTTAGGATTATGTCTTTGGAAGAAGAAATTATTTCAAAGAAAGTTAAACTCATAATAATTGACTCTGTTGCTTCAGTTGTCAGAAAGGAGTTTGACACAAAACTCCAAGGCAACCTGGCAGAGAGAAGTAACTTTTTGGCTAGAGAAGCATCAATGCTGAAGTATTTGGCAGAGGAGTTCTTAATACCAGTAAGTTCTTCCTCCTTTCTTAAGTTTTTGCCTTACAGTATCAAATAAACAATAAAATCTGTGAAGAATGAAAATGACAGGAAGATGAAAACCAGAAAAAGCTTCTAGCAGGAATCTTCAAGCAGGTACCAGTGGGAAAATAGTCGGGGAATGGGGGAACAGTAACTATTCTGCCTGGTGATTTTTTGTTTTTTGTTTTTTAAATATTTTATTTAGGACTTCAAGTAAGGGTTCACAAGATTCTCCAGCTGTGTTTCAGTGCTTTGTTTTCTATTTTTTTCTTAAATCTCATATTTTATTTTGCTGCCATTAAATATTGCTTACCCTGATGATACCGTTCTAATGCAATGCTTACTCTAACTAGTGCGTACTCTGACTAGGTGAAGATCTTTTTCTACCTGTCCCTTCTACTTAATTTTATAGAATTTCAAAAGGCCTTACGCTCTGGAGCAGCATAAATTCCTTTTGTGACTGATAATGCTAATTAATGCAGAAAGCAAGGTAACAGCTCAGCAAAACCTTGTCTGTGGACTTGCCCATAAAATACAAAGGAAGATATGGACACTCAGTGCAGGGACTGTGTCAAACTGATCAAAAAGTGCTTCAGAAGGTGTAGGCTGCATAGGTGTGTGTGTGTGTGTGTTATGTGACCCATGGAGGATTATATCAACTTAAAAGATGTTATTGAGACTCAACTCTTGGAAGTATTTCCTAGTATGGGTAACCTACTTGTCACTCCAGTGTAAGAGAGAAACCGTGGCAAGAAGTTAAGACTGGTGAGGCCTTTTCACTCTGACGCTCCTGAGGTCACAGCAACTATCTCATACCAGAAATACAGACATCAGACATGTGGAACTGGCCGGCCTAACTTAAGAGGGATGGATTTCCTTCTGCCGTGTAATTTCTAAAAACTTTTGATGGGAAAGATTAAACCCTGCGTAAGTGCCTTTAAAGTTCAGGTATAAAAGATAGTGTCCTAGTTAGTGCACCCAATAATGTTTCTAGTGCTTTAAAAAGCCAGGAAAGAATTGTGTGTAAGTATGTATACTCTCATATTTTGGGAAAATATTATGCAGTCCTTTGAAAAAGGGGACAAGTTTTATGGGAAGATACTGTTTTTCTCTATTTCTCTATTTTCTTCTGATTTAGATCACTAATAAATTGGATACGTGAAACAATATGTAACACATTTTATGGCAGAATCAGTCCAACTAAATACTGAATTGGGCAACGAGTAGGGGGACTGAGTCTGAGACTCTGAAAAAGATCTGGAGTTGATGACTGATAGGAGTTGAACTTGAAGTCAATCCTTTTGACTGTAACTAAAAGGTCTGGTGAAAAAATTTGAGTAGTTGAGCAAGGTAATCGGAAATAAGGAGGTTGTGTATTACCTATTTAGCTATAACTGTTACTGGAGCAGTACATCTGGTGTTAACAGTCCAGGGAGGGTGGTGAAAAATCAGCTTCCAGAGAATAGCCTTGAAAACGACTGGGAGGAGGGGAGACCAGTCTTAGTAATTAAGATGTATGGTGCTTACTTTGTTTAGCTTAGCTAAGGAAATGTTAAAGGTTTCTTCATTAGTCAATATGTACCTACTTGAGGAAGAGGTATTTGATAAAAGCAGCCTTCTCTTCAGCTGACAAAGGTATACCACAGTTCTGTGGTTGGAAGCTGAGTTAAGCAAGTTCAGACTTCAAATAAGGGGTGTGTTCTTATTAATCATTGGAATGCATTACTAAACATAAATAGCTTCTTGTCACCGTGTATTTTTAAATGGGCCCTTTTTTCCCATTTCCTAAAAAGGGAATAGGTTCAAATAGGATTAAATTTGGGGAAACTCTCTACTACCATGTTATGCTGGAGTTCAAATGAGTTTAATGCAGTTCTTTCTATTGGCATTACACTCTTTAGCTGTTTATAATTGTGTGTACATGGTGTCAGGTTATTGAATTTGATGTGCAAAAGCGGCTAGCATTCATGGCTTCTCCTGAACTCAAGGGGAGCTGCTTCAAACCCAAGTAGCTCTATATAGTATGAAGTATTTGGAAAAAAGCTGACTTTAACTACCTCAAAACTGATGGCTGTTGTTCAGCAACCTCTCTGCACCTTTGTTTTCAGTTTGTAAAATGGGAATAGCAGAACTGTTAGTTGTGAGGATGCTGTGAGGACAGGGTCATTGCTGTTCAGAAAGCACTCGTGCTGTGTCCATGAACAATGTATAGATGCTCACTGGAAAGTAATACTTGTCATCCTCAGTGTAAAATTTAAATAATGTGTAGTAAATGAAACCTTAATCCATCTTTTGAGATGAGAAAAAATATTAAACGTATTAATTGAATGACACCATCCTAGCCACTGAATGAAGCAAGTGAAAGTGTTGTGTGATTGTAAATTTTTGCTTGACTTAATGGTTTTTGAATTTTTTTGTTTTTAAAGTACAAAGAAACACCAAAGCTTTTTTTTTTTTCTTATGTATGGACGTTAATAAAATGTAAGTTGTTTCTCGAAAAGTGAAATGTATGATGCCTGATTTCCTTTTTTTGATCCCTTCTTCCACCTAACTTAACAGTAAGCCTGTTTCCACCCTAAGCTTTTTAAATGATGCCAGGGCAAGAAGCAGCACAAGGTTTGGATCGCTTCTGGTCTATTGGCAGGCCCCCTGGCAGCCGTACTGATGACTGAACAGTCTCTGAAGCTTTTTCCTCCATGGGTCGCTATGTAACAGGGTCCCTTTTTTCCCTTCCCTGCACACAGCCATGACCAAAACCTACTTTTTTCTGCCAGGTTTGGTTGAAACTAGCCAGTCTGATCAAAAGTGATTGCTAGAAACTGAGAAGGACAGTTTGACTATAAATCAAACAAAAAGCCCTTTATTTTTGAAATCTAGTGAATATGTAAAGCTATATGAAAAGTTTACATTACATTTATCTGTTTTAAAGCATGCTGTACTTGAGAGCATTTGGATCTGAATGTTTTCTGTTACAGTGTATGTTGATGCTGTCTACCAGATTACATATTTAAGCAGCAGTAATCAGTCCTATATGTTTCCTGTCTAGTTTCTTGACATCCGTAGCCTTCCTAAAAAGAACAGAAAACAAAATACACTTTGGATTTTTTTTCTTCTTCCATATTCATAGGAAACTATTTATTATTAGTAAGTGGTATTCAGTAAAAGTAAGTTTAGTGTTCATGCTGGTTGAGAGAGAAATGATGTCTCCATTTCAGTGAAGAGCTAAAACTAAAACCCAATAGGACTAGAATTGTTCTTGAAATTTAACTGTTTAGCTTATAAAAATTGTTATTTATAGAACCTGGTCTCCTAGTTGCTAGTACTTGAGAAAAATGTGTGGAGCTGGCTAGATATCTCCATGGAAAAGCACTCCAGAAGCGGCAGTTGCAAAACCAAACTGCTCTAAGCATTCTTTTAAATGTGAAATTGAGACTGAAGATGAAACTTGCTTTGTAAATCCCCAAGGCTAATCAAATTAAAACACTGGCTGTCCTTTATACTTTTGTCTGGGTTGTGTTCTTAGATCTGTGTCTTGGAACCTTTGTTATTTATGATCAGCATGTTGGTTATTATTATTACCAGCAAATGTATAGTAGTATCTTTTTTTTTTTAAATTGTTCTTTCTGAGAATATGAAATAGCTTAGGAGGAGAGACTTTCTTCTCTCACTTTATAGTACAAATGAAAGACAAACCTTATGTAACTATTCTCTAATGCTTTTATTTACTATGCTAAATAAGTTAACAGTAGTCAAGAAGCCCATAACTTCCACAGGTAGTATTTTTTCCCTTTAGATGCCACATGCTCCATTTAAAAACTAAAAGCTCACTTTATCAGTATTGATAATATGACAGCAATTAAAGCTGTCATAGTCAATTTTTGTTCCACACTCTTAGTTCTCACGTTTTTCATTTCAGTGCTTCACACATGCATTCTGCTCTGTCAACTTTATACCCAAGACTTTCATTGCTTTGGAAGGCCAAATGTTTAGCTAAATATATATTTGTTTTTAGGTTACGTAAGTCTTTTTTTCTTCACAAAATCTATTTATATGCACAAATTACTGGACATCTGCAGTCCCTTTTCTGCTATCTTTGGTTGTGTTTAATTGTATCATCTCAGCTTCCTGCAGTAAAGTGTCTCAGGACTGAAGTGCTTCTGTTGGCAAAGATAGAATATTCAGACTGTTAACTTTCTCTTTCTTTATAAGCAAGTATTTCCATTTGGCCTCATCCTTGGTTCTGTTTTACTCTGTTCCCACGTAGATGGTTGCTTGTCAGCTCCTCTGCACCTTTGCTATTGCTGTTCTGATATTTGAAAATATTAGATTGTGGAGAGCTAAACAAATTCCAAAATGGAAGATTTCTGAAGAAAAGTTGTTTAAATGCCAGTTCCCTTTGAATTGGTAGTAAATATGAAAAAGTTTTGGAAAAAATGGATAGTTGATCCATTGTTACAAACTGTAACAAAACTGTATGCTGACTTTTCCAAAACTATGGAGATACATTAGACTTCCAGGTGAATTTGTCTATGTCTGGACTGTAAGCTGCTGAAATACAAACTATTTTTTCTTTTTTTACTTTATTAAAAAGTATTTTTAATACCAGTGTTACAGAAACAGTAATCGTATTATCTTTGCAAGTTGTTTAAACCTAGAATAAGAAACTTTTCTCTACTTCCAAAATGTAGAGAACTGGTTCCATTTTGAAGTTTTCAAAAAAGAGAAATACCTTATATGTTATGCCACTTCGAAATGTGTTTCTTTAATGAGGAGCTAACCTTATCAGAAGTGAACATTTTGGAACTGAGTTACTAGAATTTTACTAGCCATATTTAGGCCAGATGTGGTTCAAACAGTTTCTAGTGGTGAGAATTCAGTGGAAAGTACGGGTCCTTTTCTGTTGAGCTGCTGATATTTATGTAGTGTCTTGTCAAGCATATTTTGTGTTTGTGTATGTATGTGAACTTGAATACCCTTCCCAACTGATAA